AAATTAATTAGAACAGAGGGAAGGCCTGCATTTTTCACTTGCCTTTTCCTGCCAACTTGTTGGCATCGTCAAAAGGCTGCCTGCCTTTCTCCTTCTGGTTTCCTTTTTAAATTTAATGTTATCTCTTGCTTTCAGTGTTGTTGTAAATTAAAATTAGTTGTTAACTTTAGGATGATGAGGTCATTATAATGCAACTTTTTTGTATATTGATTACATTTGAGCTTCATTTGCTTAATGCGTCATAGGGTTGAATAGGTCTTTCCAAACATCCCTCTCTCAGTGTGGGAGGTGGGGGAACAGAGAGTGGCAAAATACATGGAAAGCAGATGCTCAGTTTAATTTGAAACAGTCGACTGAAATGGACTGAGCCACAGGCAGTGTACACTATCTGAGGAGGACCTGTCCCGTGAGAGCAAAAGAGAAAAATGACGACTGGGAGAAAGGCATGAGCAGCGCAGACTTAACAAATCAGGAAGAGAAGAGCAGCTATTAAGGCCAAATCGGACGTTCCCCTCATCCCTGTCAACAGTGTTACCAACTGCATAAAAGATGAAACTCTGGCATGGGGTGGGTCCCCCCCCATGTGCACTTGAAGAGGTCAGAGGCCTGGTGGGTCCAAGAGTGGTACCTGGTGGTGAAGGGGAAGAGGAAACATGGTTCCTCTAGGGCCGCCTTCCCCAGCCTGGTTCTTTGTGCATTGTTTTGGGTTACAGGGAGCCTCCGAAGATTGTGCGAAGCAGCTCTTCCTCCGGCGAGGAGGGAAGCCCTGCCTCCAGTGGGGAAGGGATACAGGGATCAGAAGATGCTAGAGAGAGCCGCAACACCAAGCCTGAGCAAAGCAGGGGGGAGGCAAGTCCCCCTTTGCCAACACCCTCTCTCTGCAGTCGGTTTGCGCGCAGAGAGGGGAGGAGAAGTATGGGGGTCAAAAGACTGTTATGCTGGGGAAGGTTTAAGGACCGCCCACTCCCAGATTCTGCTAGCGACTGAGCAGACACGGACTTGAGACGCTCTACACTGTAAATGTTTTTGTACAGATAATAAAGCCTGGAAAAGACTGGTAGGAGTCTTGCCTGTTCGCTCTCAAGCAACCACGCCAGCACGTGACAGTTATGTTTCAATTTGTGTATTGGTTCAAAAAGGGTGAACTGGGTAGTTAGCCACTAAAATGCCAAGGAAACTGAATTTCTCCAGTATCCCTATGAATTAGTACCCCAGTCTACAGATTCTCAGCAGGAGGAAGCAAGACAAACTTGAGTATGATCATCTCCATACACTTATCTCTGACTGATGGTTTTTTCTGTTTATGTCCTGCTTTCAAGGCCTAGGCCCTCACAAAGCAGCTCATAACAATACAATAAAAATATGTTTAGAACAATAACAACTCAATTTTGAGTAATAATGATCATCAGGTAGAGCAAGTTCCTCAAAAAACCTTGAGGGGAAAAATAATACGAAGGGATTCTCTAACCCTACAGATCCAACCAAGTATTTTTGCTAATCATATTTGAAAATCTGGTGAATTTTGAGATGATTGTGTACCCAAACAACACAAGCTTCTTTTATATATTCTGATAGTGGGGCAGGATATTTCATATAAATTTGTAAACGTTCCGTTGAGTCTGAATTTCAGTATGGTGCTCCATGTTTGTGAGCCACCTCTTTCATTAATACCAGATGTTGATGCAGTGGGTTTAAGCAAACCTCATATTAATGCAATAAAATGAGAATTGTTGCTAATCACTAGACTTCCTTGCAAATCCCACCTTTGTTGCGGTGCAAAATTGCTAACAGATGTTGTGTGCATCATAAGAATATCTATGCCCATGCAGGCTGATCATACACTATGCTCCTAATCTCAATCACTTGTTTTGTGTGCTTATCTATATTATAGCTGTTGTGTAGGTTAATCCCCTTTTCTGTGGAAAAGCCAAGCTCCTTTTAAGCCAAAGGTTTCCTAGAAGTGAATGTCAGTACTTTTGCCTGATTAATACGGTCAAGGGGAGGAAATGATACAAGACTGATATTAAATGCCTCATTTTCATCTGAGGCTTCTGCTTCTGGAAATGCAGGAAGTGAAGGTTAGATTTTCGGATGGCAAGCAGTGTTTTCTCTCTTTGGGCGCTAGTGCTGTGCAGCTTGCTTCTTGTCTTGATTTGTAATTGGCTTTGTAATTGTGAGCATTCAGAAAATGTTTGTCCGCATTTCAAAAGTTCCTGGCTTGTCATGTACCCTGATGTTATCAAAGGTGGTTTATGTATTATCTTATTGCCCTCTGGGAATTGTAGATAGCTTTCCCTTGGCCTGCATTCACCCCAGGACACCACCCCTTCTGTACACAGAGCGTCAGTTTCAGTTACACTGCATAATTATGAACTATACGTTTGTTTCTGAGAAGAGTTCCTGGAGATGATGCGCACTTTTGTGTTGCTATTTTTGATTTATTTGTTACACAGCACAATCTTATGCATATTTATTTAGAAGAAAGTTCCTCCAACTCAGTGAGTTTTATTTTCTTGTAAGCATGTTCAGGTTTCAGCCATAGGACATTTAGATCCCACCTTTCCTCCAAGAATCTCAGAGTAGCAGTGCTTCTCCTCCCGCTCCCTGCCACCATTTTATCCCCACAACAATCTTGTGAGGCAGGCCAGACTGAGAGAGAGTGCCTGGCTCAAATCCCGCCGTGTGTCTCATGGTACAGCAGGGATTTGAATCCTGGTCTCCTTTCATTGTAGTCCAGCAGTTTATCCATTGCACACAAAGAATATAAAATATTTTTGGCTATCTAACTGCACGTAATGCTTGAGACTAAGATCACTAGTCTATATCACACTTTACTGGGAGTCGATCCCATTGGAATGACTTCTGAGTAGGCATGAATCCAGACCCTCCAAATGTCCCTATTTTCCAGGGACAGTCCCAGATTTACAGAAGCCATCCTGGTTTATGATTGGATCCCACCATGTCCCGCTTTTCCTTAATGTCCCTATTTTCATCGGAGAGATGTTGGAGGGTATGTGTTTAGGTTTAGGTTTGTTTCGCTCTGCCACAGCTGCGGCCCATCTGTTGGAGCAGGACAGCCTAGGGAGGGCCTAAGTTGCTCTTCACCTCAGTGCAGTGGTACCTCTGGTTACGAACACTTCTGGTTACAAACGCTTCTGGTTACGAGCTCCACCAACCCGGAAGTAGCTGCTCCTGGTTGTGAACTTTGCCCCAGGATGTGAACGAAAATCGCACGCCAGAGGCGCGCATGCAGCAGGAGACCCCATTAGCAAAAGTGTGCCTCAGGATAAGAACTGTTTCAGCTTAAGAATGGACCTCCGGAACGAATTAAGTTCGTAACCAGAGGTACCACTGTAGAATATTTTCCAAGTTAGCTGTAGACCAATACTCTTCTTATCATGTATGAAGTGGGCCTTGTGTATCATATTCTACAGTAAAATTTTCATTTCTGAGCACCGCTCTCCTTTAGTGCCACCCACTCTTTTTGTTCACTCTTCAGTTTGACTCCTGCCTTTAGCTGTGGTGGTAGCAGCTGTGTTCAGACCCCAACCTATGGCTTTCTCTAGGCCACTGCCAGGGTGGGTGGGAGGTGCTGGAGCTACTGCCAGCCATTATCCTAATTATTGTTGGTGTGCTCCAGGGGTGGCCTCTTCTCCCCCTGCAACAACGGGTAACAGTTATGTGGAATTCAGTTCCCCTTTTCACGTTCTCTTAGGACCTATTTCCCTTTAGTATTTCAAAGTCCTGCACCTGAAATGGCACCTGACTTTCAGAGACTAGGAATGTGTGGACAGTTCTCCTGGTGGAGAGATGGAGAAAGTGGTCCCCCCCCCAAGGATCTGTATTGGGACATGTGCTTTTTAAGTTGGTCATAAATGATCCAGCATTAGGCACGAGCAGTGAGGTGGCCAGGTTTGAAGAAGGGATTAAATTGTTCAGGGTCATAAAAACAAAAAGAGATTGTGAAGAGATCCAAAAGGACCATTTTACATTTACTGAATGTAAAATGACCAATGCAATTCTGTGTAAGCAAGTGTAAAGTGATGCTTGTAGGGGCAAAATGTCTTAATTTCATCTATATGCTCATGGGGTCTGAACTAGCGGTGACTGATAAGGAGTGGGACTTTGAGGTTGTAGTAGTTAGCTCAGTGAAGACCTAGTGTCCAGCAGTGGTGAAGAAGGCAAATTCCATGCTAGGAAATGAATGGCAAATGAAAGTGCTGATATCATAATGGTGTTATAAATATCTATCGCGTGACCACACTTGGAATACCGTGTACAGTTCTGTGTACAGGTCACCTCACTTCAAAAAGGATATTGTAGTGTTGAAAAACGTTCAAAAAAGGACAGCAGACATGATCAAGGCAGTGGAGCACTCCTCTATCAGGAAAGTTAAAGTTAACATTTGGGACCTCTTAGCTTACGGAGAAGGTGAGCAAGAGGAGATGTGACTGAAAATTATGTATGGCATGGAGAAAGTGGATGGGGGGGGGAATTCTCCCTCTCTCATAACACTTGAACTCACCAGCATCAAATGAAGTTGAAAGATTCCTGATAGACAAAAGAAAGTCGTTCTTCACACAGCGCAGAGTTAAACTTTGGAACTTGCTCTTGGAGAAGGTAGGGTTGGCCACCAACCTGGATGACTTTAAAAGAGGATTGGAGAAATTTATGTAGAATAAGGCTATCCGTGACAGCTAGCTACAATTGCTCTGCTCTGTCTCCAGGGTTAGAGGCAGCAATGCTTCTGAATGCCAGTTGCTGGAAACGGCAGGAGAGGAGGGGGCTGCTGTTCCTTCCAGGCCCCACTTGTGGGCTTCCCCAGGCATCTGGTTGGCCATGGGGAGAACTGGATGCGGAATTAGATGGACCACTAGTTTCGTCCGGGGGGCTCTTCTTAGGTTCTTAATTCTGCTTGAATATTCTAACATGACCACATCCCACCATCCCTTTGTCAAATGTCCTTAATATATGTGTTTTCATCTTTCTCTTTGGTACAGAAATCTTAAATGGAGGAGTATATGTTGGACAGAACAGATTTCTTTGCTATGCAGACACTATTCAGTGGGAAGATATTGTTCGTAACCCTTTGGCTTCCAACTTTTCTGTGGTTCCGAAAAACAGCAGTGCAGATTGTAAGTATTGACTTTGTTTTCCACTCTTACCGCTTTGCCATTCTCACGCTTATTCAGGTACACATCTACTTTTTCTTTCTGTGCTTTCTGTAACATCCATACATTAACAGTGCAATCCTGTGCATGTCTACTCTGACGCAAGTGCACTGAGTTCAGTGGGACTCATGTCTTGGTAAGTGTGCATAGGGTTGCAAAGTAGGTTTCATTATGATTTAACCACTCAAAAAACCTGCCTGCTTCCAAGGTTCTTCCCCGCCCTCCATTTATTTTCCTTTTTTTCTCTTTCTTTTTTACATTATCCGTAACCTTCCTTTCCAACAAACTGCCCAAGGTTGCATTTCATGCTGAAAGAAACCAGGATCTGAAGCCCACTTCAAAGACGCCATTGTTTAGAATTCCACTGCAAGGGCAAAACCCTGGTTTGTCTTAATTGCAGTTAGCATTGATACTCACAAACTGCTTAACCATTTCTTTCATTAGCCTTGAATTCAAGTATCATGCAACCAGATGCCAGCTGTCCAAGTACCTTCTTATTTTGTTTAAATGTTCCATCTCCCTCTCTTCACAGAATCTAGCCATATGAGTTAATTTAACTGAAGGATAGCGAATGTAGTGAGCTCCAGATGTTGTTGAACTCCATCAGCCCCAGCCATCATGGCTAATGGGCAGGGATGATGGGAGTTGTCCAACAACATCTGGAGGGGACCATCTTGCCAATCCCTGGTTTAACTATATACAGGGTGTTCCAATTCCCATTTGAAGCAATTCTCACTCAGTTTATCAAATGTTTCTGAAAGGCTGAGGTGTGGCTTGATTATATCATCACTTAGGAAAGCAAATCAATATATCCTGTACAAGGGTGGGGATAACCAGTGGCATAGCGTGGGTTGTCAGCACCCGGGGCAAGGCAAGTAATTTGCACCCCCTAACCCTAACCCCCAGATGTTGCGCCCGGTGCGGCCGGCCCCCCTGCACCCCCCATGCTACGCCACTGGGGATAACATCTGAACTGGAATCTAAAATTAGCTTTACTTGGTTGCTGTACTTTCAGTTCCATATGCAAGCTCTAAACCAAGCATGGCCAACCTTGGCCCTCCAACTGTTTTGGGACTACAACTCCCATCATCCCTAGCTAACAGTACCAGTGGTCAGGGATGATGGGACTTGTAGTCCCAAAAACAGCTGGAGGGCCAAGTTTGGCCAAGCCTTCAGTCTAAAAGCCTAAGCCTCGGTCTAAGCCTGAGTTTGAAAAGTTGCCACTTTGAGCTACAAGGTGACAAACACGGACATACAACTTTCAGTCTTAGTTCAGGTGGGTCTCTAGTGCCAAAGGAGGGCAACTATCCACTCTAATTTTTCAAGGGATCCTGAATCTTCTCTTCTCTTGTTAGCAGTTGGAATCCTATATGCTGATGTGGTCTTCATTATCACAGTCAGGTTCCCCCAAAGCCTTCACTTAAATACAGAGCCTTCTTCATTCACCATATGCAATTCTATAAGACTTAAAATATGGCTTAAAATATGGCTGAATCAGTATTACCAAGGTATTTGAACTTCAGAGGACATCACAGAAAAATTGTGGCTCTTTAAACTTTGTGGGGGAAATAAATAAGTGGACACAATCCACATACAGGTTTTCAGATGCCTGCATTTAGTTCTCTGTGTACAAAATATAGAAAAAATATTCATGTACAATTACTCAGAGAAATAGAGGAGCCATGTTACCACCCACCAAGAGTTCAGAGCAAGATGTTGCTCAGTTTTACAAAAGTTTTAAGACACAGCATTGTTGTATTCAAGTTTGTAAAGTTTTGGACTAGGTGGGGGGAAATGATTGGAACACTAAAACTGCAGAGTGATCATGGTGTTAGGACAGTGGGCAACCTTCATTTCAAACACATTGCTGACCCGGAACTTTTCAAGGTTAACATAAGCAAAAGTTAAGGTCTGCATCCTGAAGGAGCGTCTCCACCCCCATCGTTCTACCCGGACACTGAGGTCCAGCACCGAGGGCCTTCTGGCGGTTCCCTCACTGCGAGAAGCCAAGTTACAGGGAACCAGGCAGAGGGCCTTCTCGGTAGTGGCGCCTTCCCTGTGGAACACCCTCCCACCAGATGTCAAAGAGAACAACAACTACCAGGCTTTTAGAAGACATCTGAAGGCAGCCCTGTTTCGGGAAGCTTTTAATGTTTGATGTATTATAGTATTTTAATATTCTTTTGGAAGCTGCCCAGAGTGGCTGGGGAACCCCAGCCAGATGGGCGGGGTATAAATAATAAATTATTATTATTATTATTATTATTATTATTATTATTATTATTATTATTTGGAGAATTGAAAAGGAGATTGTGCTGTTGTCTGAAATAGGAAAGTGATGCAGCCTAGTGGTTATGACGAATCAGGAATGCACCAGTTCAAAACCCCATAGCTGCATTATGAGTATAATAATGCTGATCACTTTCACAGGGTTGGTGTAAGGATTATAAGAATGCCTGTGAAGGCGTTTGGATACTCTGTGGCCAGACTGGTTGGGGCTGATGGGAAATGGAGCCCAACAACTTATGGAGGGCCTCAAGTTCCCCTTTCCCGCTTTAAGACCCAACCTCACTTGATGATGATCTGGAACCTCAACTGCAGGACAAGGTGCCTTCATCACTATAAACTGTTGTGTGAAGGAGCAGTGGAAAGTCAGTGAAAGAGCAGGAGGTAATGCCATACCGTATTAAAGAGCTGAATTTGTTCTTTTAGTCTGCTAAGGGACAGATTTCCAAAAGCTCCTAAGTGGGTTAGCAGCACACGTCCCATTGAAAGTCAATGGAATGTGTGATCTTAAGTTGCTTTTGGTATTTTTGATAATCTTGCCCTCTGAGCTTGATGTCCAGACTTCAACCCTTCCTGATTACCCAAATCAGTGGTTTATGTTGAGACATCTATATTCTACCAATGCCTGGATATATAGTTGAGAAAGCTGAACCTGCCAGAGACAGATACAAGATCTGCATCTCCCAAAAGGAGAGAAAGCATTAGTCATTACTAGCTTATTCAGTTTACGTGTCTTGGCCATGAACTTCAGTAGGATAAATGAACCCAAGGAGAGATATCAGTGGGTTGTCCGATGTTGATATTTAACTGTACCTAGCACACAGGTCCCCTCTACACGAGAAATCTGGAAATGCTGCACTTTACCCTTTCTTGTTTTGGAGACTCTTTTGTGGGAGTTTCAGAGGGAGCATCTCAATGCTTTACACTCCTCTGTGTTATGAAACTGTAACATTAAATTTTGGGGGAGTTGTTTCCCCTAAAATCTTGAGTAAAATGGTGAACTGGCTGTCCTCTCTTCCATAAAGCTGCAGGGAAACAAATATAGTAACAAAGTAGTTTGTGTTCCTTTAAAGTTCTTTGGGGTAAAACAAATTTCCCCAGCTGAAACCTGCTACTGGTCTTATATACAGCCTATGCCGTTTAGAACAGCATTTGATCGCAGTAAAACAAATCACCAGCAGAATGTAACAGCAATACATTTTCTCACCTTGGCTGACAGAAAATGTGAAGTGGTGACTAATTCCCATTCTTAAAGTCAACTCTTGCCTAGTATATCATTTCTAATGCAGCTTTAAATTGCAAGCTGTGTACCGAGAAAATGACATTCGGAACAGTAGATGGTGAACACGTTTTTATTGTAGAGTTAGGTTAAATTATATCCCTTTATTAAGGTGCAGTCAATTAACATTTTAAATACGTATGTGCTTGGGGAGTAGGGAAAATGCGCTTTCACAGACAGGGGCCCCTGAATCATTGCGACAGGTGTCAGCACACAATACCAGCCATAGAAGCTGTTCTTTCACAAAAACAAAGGCACAAATCAGGAAAGCATCACACAAAAACCTCTTTTGTATGGAAAATTCCTCAAGTGATCACAAAATAATGTTTTAACAGCCACAAGTGTTTTCTCAGCTGGGAAGCATAGCCAATAAATGCTGAGGAGAGAGCCAATGCTCCCCCTCAAGTTGTTAACCATTTCAAAGATAGGCACTTATTTGCATTTCCTGCAATTAAAGAATATGAACTGGGAGTATAATTTGCTTTAGAAAAATGGCAATGGAAAGTGGGTGGTGGGGAATGGAGGAATGTCAATATTTGTTTGCTTTTAAAAATCTGTTTTTGCCAAGTGCTGGAGAATGAAAAGAGGGAGGAATGTGAGGCGGAAAGTAGACTTGCAGAGTTTTGGCATTTCAGATAGGGAATTTAGTAGCCCCATGAAAGCATTTCATGTGAGAAAGAGCTAAAAAAGGTGAAAAGGCTTCTTTGTGCTCTGAAGTACCAGTGGATATAAAAAGCCAACTGAGGAAGAATTTCAGCAACAGGAAACAGACCAAGCTTTTGAGTGCCTGGTGACAAAAAAAATACTGGATTTTCCCAAAGTTTTCCGAAAGTCTAATCCTTGTAATGTCAGAGGGTAGGATCCGGCTGTACTTTATACATGCTGAAATTTCAAAGGCATGCCTACATGTGTGCTCCTGTTTCAAACATTCTTTACTCCAGAGTTTGAAGAATCTCATTTTATTGGGCATCCACACATGGCCAGGCCAGTTGGGCAAATGTGTGTAAATAGGCTTGCCTCTGCTTATGTTGCTGGAGCAATTATTGGCAAATTTTGTTTTTTAATTACGATTATTTATATATATTCCACCTTTTCCCCAGTCTGCAGCTTATGGTGGCTTGCACAGATGAAACAGAGAAAGCAAAAATCATAGAAAAGACAATAATTAAAATGCGATTAAACAGTTTTATGTATTTAATTTAGTACTCGCTTCCCATAAAACACCCAAAAGGAATTTAACAATAAAAAATGATTTTAAGTCCAATCCAAATAGTGATTAGCTTTACAGTAAATGATTAGATTTCTGGACTTGTGTGCATTTCCATGTCGTCATTAAATCAGGAATGACAGAAGCAGCAGTCGTATATCTCCTCCCCCCTTGCCTCCTGCAATGTATGGC